ACGGTTTTTCCCTTTTTTTTCGGGATTTTTGTTTTTTTTTTTTTTATATTAGTAAGGGTACATTTGTATTTTTAGGGTGCGGTAACAGTAATTTGGGTGCGGTGTTTAGTATTTCAGATTTACAAAACCAAGCCCCACAATTCCAAAAAGCAACAAAAACCAGTCCGTCCTTCAATGGAATCCCGTCGCAGCTGACCATGTAAGCGGCCGTCGGTTCATGGTGATGACCGCCGGGTCGAGCCCAGCGGCGGCGACGGCCTGAATCGAGCCCAGCATCAAAAACCAGTCTCTCGACCACCGCACAGTCATCGGAAGTCGTCCGGCCACGACAACTGCAAAAGGAAAATTGTGAAAGCACTGGTGCGAGAGAGGGAAGAGAACGCGACCGGCGGGAGGAGGACGCGACCGGTGGGATGAGAACGTGTCCGGTGGGGGGAGAAAACGGCTGGCGCCGGAGATGATGTGAAGAGTAATCTATCGGTGTGAAAGAAATAGAGATGGTGCGAAAGAGACTGTGGTGGAAGTGGAAGGCGGCCGGCTCTGCGGGCGACACTGGGCGGAGGCGGGTGGCGCTGTGCGGAGGCTGGGATGGAGAATTGGGCGGAGGCGGGCTGTTCTGGTGTGTGCCGTGTGTGTGAGAAAAAATTAATTGGTAGTAATGGGGGTGGGACCCACGTGTGATATGGGTATGGGTGTGTGAGATATTAATTACCAATTTACTTTTATTTATTGGTCAAATAGGTACATTTGACCATGAATTGTATATCTATTTATAAAACTGCCACCCATGTTAGACTGGCATATTTAATATTTGACTTGATCAGGATCATTGATATGCCGGATTCAATGATACAGACTCATTCTTATTTCTTTCACTGTTTATATTCTCATATGATCCCTTCTATATATATATATATATATATATGCATATATGTGTGTGTGATAACTTGTGGATAGATTAATTAATTTATGGATTACTAGTACGTACCCCGTGCGATGCACGTGACATAAATATTAAATAATTTATTTTCATAGGCTTTGTCCATTTAAGTATATAAAGCAATGGGGTTATCATCTATTTTCAACCTCTTTTAATCAGCGTTAAATTAAGTGTAATAAACAATAAAGTTACAATCTATTTTGTACTTTTTTAGTCAAAACATTAAATAAGAGCATGTTAGGGATTATCTCATTGACACATTTATACTAATATAAATTTAATTTTAGTATATATATTTATTCCTTGATATAAGAGAGAATAACAATTTTACTTATTCTTGTTCACTATATAATACTTAATTATTATTTTATTATAAACTTTGTTGTCATATAATATCATTATTATTTATAAAGTTATAGAAGTTCTACGTCTTTTTTTTTCTTTTTATTTTATGTAATGAAAAATATTTAATGCACCTTACTATTATTTATTTATGTAATCAAATTAAAATATGTAAATAAATTTAAAATTAAATAGTGTATAAATATTTTACAAAATATATCCATGTTTTTTTTAGAATTTAGGTTTGTATACTAATTAAACAATTTTGATTTAGAAAATGCCAAAATCTCAATCCCTTCTATGATCAAGATTTTTCTAATTCGCATTATAAAGATTTGTAGTTTATTCAGCATACTCTGCAATGCAAATATATTTTACAAGAATTTGGTTATAGAAATAAATCAAAATAAAAAAAATGAAAAAAAATAATCATGGGTGTCAATAATATACAAATAAATTCTAAAAAATAGTTTATATATTTCAATTTTAATTTTTTACCATTAGTGAAACTATTTAATGTATTTGATCATTATCTCTTAAATAGTAAATTATATTAATTTGAAGAACAATTTATTTTTTATATTTAACAAAATAAAGCTTAAGAAAAAAAATATATTGGCAAAGATTAATTCACCAACTTGATTTTGTCTGATTACTTGGAAAAAAAAATTCTACCTAACCTGTTATGATTTTCCATAAATATTTTGGATAAAAAGTGAATGTTTGTGAAAAAAAAAAATTAATATTATGGTTAGAACTTAAAATGTGGTGTAATATTTATCTTGACCAAAATATAATCAACATGGATCATGGAAATCAATCTTGTAATTTAGTATAATGAATATCAATGAAAGTATTACAAATATTAATAAAATAATATTTATCTTGATCAAATTATTACCAACATAAATCACTGAAAATCAATCTTGTAATTTACTATAATAAATATCAATAAAAATATTACAGATATTAATAAATTTATTTAAGTAATTTTCATATCTTATTTGAAAACGTATATATGGAAGCAATTAATGCATATATTTAAAAATTTTCCGACAATGGTATGCATTAAGTGTTTCCTAAATTTTTGCTACTATTTTTAGTTAAATGGTAATTCTTATTATATATATATATATAGATATGTGGTAACTTGGGATGGATTTTATATGTGACCAACTTCTGGGACGTTGGGACGTGGATATTGGGCATTGAATGTTTATTTTGTAGGGAAATTTTCACTCTTCCGGTAAGAATTGTAATATATTGCATTTTTACTACTTGATCAAATTTAATTATATCTATACCTAAAATTTAGGATTTTATTAGAAGTATACTTCATATAAATAACCATACAAATAAAACACGCTCCATCCTTAATTCTCGCTGACTCATAAGATAGATAAATGAAAATAAATAACTGATTAATTCTCGCTGACTCATAAGATAGATAAATGAAAATAAATAACTGATTCATTTGATTTCTTAATTCATGGAGCTATCAGGTGGTATATACTGCGTTTATGTTAGTATATATTCAGTATATGTTGCATCGAAGAAAATGTCTTCCATCAAAAAATTATATCTTTCTTTTTTTTTTCTTTTTTTTTTTTACATAAAGGTATATATAGAGTTTAAAAACATATTATAACAGCTTTCGCGATAAATTTTTTTATTCATATATAAAAAAATATACTGAATATATACCATACATATACAAAAAAGAAAAAAGAAAAAAAAAATCAGTTCATGCTTTGTCTTGAACATAAGTACTGAATATACTATAGATTGAACATAAGTACTGAATATACTATAGTTATACCATACATATACTGTAGATATACTGTAGAAAAAAATATATTGAATATATACCATACATATACTGTAGATATGAGAATCAAACGTAAGTGCTGCCAGAAGTTTAATAGAATGGGGATCATTTCTTATAAAAAGCGCTATAAGCTACAAAAGCAAAACAGTCGGACGAAATTTTTCCTGCATTCTATAATAGAATTTCTATTAATGAACTAGAATTCAACATATATCCTCAGTTATAAGATACAAACAGTGCACATATACGATACAAAAAGTTACAGAGTTGTCCCAACTCTGTCATGATAAATGGCGCTCTCGAAACAGTAATAATGAAAAAAAAAACCCGATTTTTAGATCCAGCGGAGGATTAGCATCCCCGAACAAGTACTTGAAGAACGCCTCCAGATTCACCCCCCCGTCTATGAAACAAGTGTGCGTGCTTGAGCCCATCGATGAGGCCCTGCGCGCCATCCACCGTCGAGTTCGCTTCCCCCTGCATCTCCGCCAGGAACTGCCGTAGTCCGTCGGCTTCCATCACCTATATAACCGTCGCGAAATTCCCAATCCGATTAACACACTAACGAATCGAAGAGCGGAAAACGTGATTGGAATCGGCTATTCTTTAATAGGGAATAGTCTAAACGAAGTTCGAAGCTTAAAGGTGAAGGAAAGGGATGTCGGCCATGGCTTTTTTGCTTTCCTTGACCTAGAAGGCGGATGGTTCTTTTTTCTGCGGGGTTTCATATATATTGCAATTCTTAGGTATAATTGTAATATTTATGGCTCTGTTTAGTAATTTAATAATTAAGAGTATAATGATGATAAAAGTATAATATTAATCACATCTATTAATATATAAAGAGGGAATGATAGTTGTTTGAAAAAATCAAGTAGAAAATCAGCAAAAAAAAAATTTCAATTCCCGCCTAAATTTTACTATAATGAGCAAGATTTTTAGCAAAAAAATTAAATATCCCCGCCAGTCATCAATTTGAAATTTTTGGTCAGATTTGGTCAGATTTTTTTGCTAAATATTTGTAGGTATCATAATAAAAAAAACTGAACATTAGCATATCTTCTTTCTTTTCTTCTTTTCCGTATCCCCTTCACTTTTTCTCCTCTCTCTTCTTCTTCTTCTTCCCTTGCATACCAAAATTACCAAATTCTTCATCTTCCTTCCTAATTTCTTCATCTGCTTCGTTCAAATTCTTTATCTCCCTTCCTAATTTCTTCATCTCCTTCGTTTCTCTCCCTCAAGGGACGCCCAATGCAAAAACCCCCAATTTATGTGAAGATGAGGTCGTACGCCTGCCCGGCTGCCTGAGATCGACAACTCTCGCTGGCAGCACGGGACGACAACGTGACTGAGATAGGCGGACAACTCATAATTGGTGGAAAAAGGCCAGAGCGAGGATGAGGCCCGTGTCGGAGATCGGCAGACGACTAACAACGGCTGATAAAGGATCGTCGGCAAAGAGCATTGCGGCTGCGGAGCGGCACTATACGTTGGAGCCCTGTGGCTGTAGAGTCGGTGAAGGGTGCTCCCTCGAATGCGAATAAACGAAGACGGGCTTGGTCGGAATCGGACGAAGAAGATGAGGTGGCGGGGAGGCAGCCCGAGCCCGATCCAGAGCAAGAGGCCCAGCCCGAGCCCAGCCATGGTGCTGATATGCAGGAGAGTGATGGAGGTGGCGCGCCTGATGATGAAGAATGAAAATGGCAGCTCTAAGGACTTTGTTCACAAACCATTGGTGGGTTGCTAAGGTGCTCAGAGCTCGCTTATGCTTTTAGCGTACTGGTGAGAAAAGCTAAAACATGGATTTTGTGCCAAGTTTTTGTGTGATGTCAGATTTTGTTGTAGTTGGACTTGAAAGAATGAAAACTTCTTTATTAACTCAAGTGTGCTGCGTGCAGAATCAAACGACAGACAGTCCTGTTATTTTTAACTGTAGACATAGGAAAATTATACAAAATTAATAATGTTTTATTACTGTATTTAGTGCCTTTTATTTCGTTAGAATAATAATAATTTTACTTTGTGGTGTGGCTGCTAAGGTTGGCGGTGTCGAGCTGTGTCGGGATATATTTGGAGTGGCGGTGGTATGATATTGTGACGGTGCTGGGGTATTTGCCTAAAGCTGGTGATGGAAGCCACCGGGATTGTGATACACCCAACAAGCCTAATGTATATTATGCTAATGACCCTGACAAACTGTATATCCGCCCGAGTAAGCTTTCTGGCTTTCAGTTAGTTGTGTGCGGTTTTAGCTTAATTAGAAGAATAAAAGCCAATTAGTCTGTTTTTTTTTATTATTATTTATAAAATTATGATGGAAATTTTGTCTACTCTTATGTGTTTTTGATATTATTGAACTGTGGACTGTGAAGGTGATGTTCTATATTGGAGTTCATGGCTATGTTTACATGCAAATTGCATTTTGTCTACCTTATGTAAATTGTACTAATGGACTTGGGTGCTTTATGAATAAGGATGTCTGGACGGACTGAACGTGTCATGGCTTTCGGACGTGGGCCGGCGGCTTGTGTCTGCACGAGGATTCTATTCGCCGGACACGACAGACACATTTTCTAGCATATTGAAGGACATGGCATCTGAACGCGTGCTGAGAACGGCTAAAATTTTCTTGTCACGATGGAAGCTTGCAGGCCGGAGAAGGTAGCTTCTCTGGAAGCCGGAAATCGTTGGATGATCACGGGTTTATTGTCGGAGCAGAATGTTGGTTGCGTAACCAGAGAAGAAAGCTGGAGATAAGGTAGGCGATATTTCAGCATAAGAAACATCCGTGAAAATTTATCTAAAATCTTTCTGTAAAAATTTATCTAACCAGATTTTACCGTTTTAACATATATTTTCCTTTATCAATTTGTTTTAAATCCCTAATATTTCGTTAGTCTATTTGATATACTTTCAATTTTTTTTCCCTATATTTCTGTATGAGTAGTTATTTGAGTTTGGCAACATATCTGGTGTAGTTGGCAATAATTCCTAACACCATTTTAGAAGGAATAATTTCCTTTTGAAATGAAAAAAATATTGTGACAAAATTGACAATATGTATTAAAAACTCATGACGTCGTTACATTGTAAATTTGTAAGAATATTTAAAATAATTTATCTCCATATTCATAAAGTTATAAAGTAAATAAATATTGGCGGGAATAGTTCTTCTGATGGAAATCTTTCAACTATTCCTAACTTCATTCTTTTAATTTTTTATTTTTCCAGTTCAAATAAATTTCCCAAAAAAACTAATGTTCCACATGTAAATAAGCAGTTGATTAAACTTATGAATTTATAATATATATCAAATGATTCTAAATACATGCAAAGAAATCTCCTTGATTTGGGGCCATCAATCTTTGGTATAGATAAAAACTAAATTAGATTCTAGCTATATTTAAGAATTTATTACCCACTAAATTCGTGAAAATTGAAAGTAGTTAGCATAATTTTATATATTTTCAAATATCTATTAATATATAAAGAGGTAATGATATTTACTTGAAGTAGTAACTTAAAATTAATATAAAAAAATATTTGATTTCCACCTAAAAATTCAGATTTACTAAAGTGGATAATTTTTTTTTTTTGCCAAAATTTGAAAAATCTCGCTTAAATTAATGTAATTAAGGTAAAGAATCATTTTGGTCAAATATTGCAGCTATAACCATTATTAGTTATATGATTTCAATTTAAAATATAATATATTGATAAAACTTGCGTCTATTACCTTTATTAGTTGTATGGTTTAAATTTGGTACACAATATATTGAAAGAAAAAAAATATTTTTATTTAAAATTAAAAAAAATTATTCATAACTTACGGGTTAATATTAACTTGGACGTAAAAGAAATAGTCAATTATTTATAGTTTAATAATTTACTCAATAACTTACGGGTTAATATTAACTTGAGCGTAAACAATGTATTAATCAATTATTTATAGTTTAATAATTTACTCGACTACTTAATTTCTTTTGATTTGGATAGTTTATACAAAAAAAGTTTTTTTAAGTAATGAAGTAATATAAATATTATATTTATACTTATTATTCACTGAGGTCGTTAAATATATGATAAAATTTTACCAAAATAACTATTTTATAGAATCACATTATAGTGATCAAATCAAATTCTGAATAAAAATTTTGAAATGACACTTATTTTGAAACAAATATAGTGCAATTTATTATATCCATTTTGCAAGTTCGTTATTACGGGTAGTTCCTACAAAGGATCGGACTAATGACGTATCCAATACTTGAATTCTCGATGTAGATCCTTCATAGTTGGTTCTCATCCTTCAGAGACTACAAGTGTAATAGGAGCATCCGTCGACAAAAGGATCACCCTAAGATGATCATTTCATGGCTATTGAGAACGAATTCAATCAGATGGTCCTATTTTTCAATCTTTCTGACTTTCTCCTATGGAACCAGTTATGTGCACCGCACAAGTTGTGTACAAATTTTAAATAGACATTTTTATGTAATTTTGCACAATTAAAACTTTATATAATATTTTCAATAAATTAATATTGGTAAATAATATTATATATTGATTCCATATTTTTAATTTATAAATATTATTTGATAAGAATTTTTAATTTAAATATTAATGAATATCTCTTACCCGTGCACGCACGGGACTCATACTAGTCTGATAGTAAAAAGTGTATATTCCGCTATTTTGTAATAGAGCTGTAAACGAACCGAACGTTCACGAATAAAAGCTCGTTTGAGCTCGTTCGTGTTCGACAAAAGCTCGTTCGTTAGTTAATCAAGCCGAGTTCGAATAGAAAATTAGGCTCGTTTAATAATCAAACGAACACGAGCTCGTTCGCGAACGTTCGATAATGTTTGCGAACATTAATTTAATATAATATTACTTTATTGTTTTACATATTTACATAATATTTTTAATAAAAAAATCTAAAATATAAAAATATTTTTATTTTATTTTTTTTATTTTCGAGTTCGAACGAACAAATTTCGAGTTAATAAAACATATTTAAAAAGTTTATGTATTAAATTATTCGAACATGAACGAAGTCGAACTTTGACGAACAATTAAGCGAAGGAGCTCGAACACGATTTTTTGCTCGAAAAATAAACGAACGAACACGAACGCTGTTCGAACGTAAACGAACACAAACTCAAACAGTCCAAGCTCAGCTCGGTTCTATCATTTACAGCACTATTTTGTAATTCAATCTAACTACTTGGGCTGTTAAATTTAATTGATTATCTTGAACTTGAAAGCCCAGCCCAATCTTTACTTGGCAAATGATAGCAACTCCAGTCATTTTTTCAATTTCAGTAGGCCAGCCCGCCTAGCCCGCGGCCCCTGGCGGGTTTGGGCTGGGCTGGGCATTTAGAGGCCCGGCCCAATCCGCAAAATGACGGGTTTTGGTGTGCTGCGGGTCCTCTCGCTCCGCTGGCTCGTTTTGACATGCCTACAATTCCCATTCCAATACTTAGTTTTCTCTGAAATATTCATTACTTTAATCCAAGACGAGTCACTTTCATTATCGATTATAATGGATCGACCCGTTTCATTTAACAGTAAAACCGGTACACTTTAATGGATCGACCTAAACTGGTATACCTTTATTATTGTTCATCTGGTAGACCAGATGGACAGTATTAACCGATATGAATTTAAGAAAAAAGAAAGAAAAATAAAATGAACAATCTGAAAAATCCTCTCAAAGGTATACCTTTTATGTCTGCCATGGTAGAGAATTGAGACGGCTTCTATTATCCATCGAGAGTTCCAAGTGCCTCAGCTAGAAGTCCTTGTGCTTCTTATCTTCTCCTGTTCGCCAACAAATGGATCGCGAATGTCGTGCATTAGAAAACATACAATTTAAATCCAACTCAAAATGCAGCAAACCGACCAAAAATCACACAATTTCTACAAAAGGACAAAGGCTCCTAGTTCATGTTCTTGCATCGACGCTTGACGTAAAAAAAATGTACGAATGTTGATACTGACATGGAAGAAGATATAATTGTTTTTATCATATAAAACTCTATATAGACTATTGTTTTCATTACTAACCTCAAATTCGAGTGTCATATCAAGCAAGACATCATGTCTGTGAAACTTGATTGATGATTTCTCACATTCACATATAAAAGTAAGAGTATCTGACCATGAATTCAGTGCCAATAAGAAAATGCAACAACATTACCAGGTCTAGAAAGAAACACCAGCACAGTTTAGAAGCTTTAAAAGACCCTTAAGGCCTAACAGTCAGATTTTAAGAAATGATACAAATTTCATGGGCTTAACTTCTACAATTTTGTTGTTTCCTTTTTCCCTCACCAGCTTCCAAACTCATAATACCAAATTGTGTGACAGATTTTCAGTAGTTTGCTGCTGCAAATATCGTCATTTGTGCATAAAACTTGCTTCATTTAGTTACTCCATTTAGTCTGAGCATTTGAGACTGCATAATAAATAAGCCCTTACCCAGCAAAAATACATATTATACCAATTTTGTAAGTTGTGTGATGCAGTTGAAGAAACTCAAATAAAGTAATCCTACTAAGGTTCCTATTTTATATTTACACCCGTCATTTTTCCTGGATAACAAAGATAGGATTAAAATGCTGGCGGTATGTTCCTTTCTATTTTTGTGAAAAAACTTTCCAAGATCTTTTACTTTAATTTTGCCTCTAAATTCAACAATTTAATTCCAAATGATTGTTTAAACAATCAATTCCTTGGCCAAGTTGGTTGATTCCCTTTTCTCAGTCTAGTTTTCACATACAGAAATAAACCACCTCAGAGCTTACCATAAATAAGGACTTGGATTAGGTACAAAGTGATTATTCATAAACCACACAGTAAATCTGTTTTTGCATGGGGAAAGAATTGTTCAGCCCACATGATCAGCTAAGTCAACTTGAGAGCTTGGACAGAATCCTCAGCGCTAAATGGAGGGGAATAAAAAAGTAAATTGCAGATTAAATCTCAAGCTTTGCTCCATTTGCAATTTAATTTTTAATCTCTCAATTTTGGAGTAAAAGATACGAGATTTTGATTTTTACAGATTGAAGCACGCAATAAACAAACTGACTGTTAGAAGCTTACGTGTCTTGCTTATTATATGACATTGAGAGAGGAACAACTACACATCAAAAATTGAAAAAATAAAAGTAAAATACACCACACCTTATAAAAAGATTCGAAAATCCGATTTCTATTATTTGGAAAAATTAAATCTATTAATATATAAAGAGGGAATGATAGTTTTTTGAAAAAATCAAGGAGAAAATCAGCAAAAAAAAAAAGATTTCGATTCCCGCCTAAAATTTCAGAATTACTATGTAAATATTTTGGCAAAAATTGAAATATCCCGCTTCTACCAAATCTGTTTGAATTTTTCAGAAATTCAAAAATAAGATCTTCCTAAAAATTGGGAACTAAATTTTAGGAAAGATTGACTACGAAACTTTCTCACAGCATTTAACCCTCTCTCCTTCCTCTCCCTTTTTCCCTCAAACCCCAATTTTCCACATCCTCCTTCCGTCTCCTCGCCTTCTTCTCTCTCAAGATTGTCATCTCCGCCCCGCTTTCTAAATAATAGTCTTCAGGGTTGGGTTTATGAGCGAGGGCTAATACCAGGCGCTGACATGAGCTCCCAAATCATTTAATTGAATTCGGGAAATTCAATCTATCCCTAACAAGCGAGGTAATTCAATCGATCCCTAATAGGCCTAAAAAATTCCGATCTGTTTCCAGATCTGCAGCTGGTCCACCGTCTTTAAGCTCCCAGGCGACGTCCTCCTCGACCTCTTCCGAAGTCGCCGCCGCCATCCTCCCCCACATGGACGAGCAAGTTCTCATCAACCAGGACCAACTGTTGGAGGTCTTCCGCTTCTTCGACGGCGACGGCAACGGATACATCACGGCTGCAGAACTCGCCGGGAAGATGGCCAAGATGGGCCAGCCGCTGACCTACTGCGAAATAAGCAAGATGATGCGGGAAGCCGACACCAACGGCGACGGCGTCATCAGCTTCAATGAGTTCACCAACATCATCGAGAAATCAGCTGTTGTTTGATTACCTCGGATTGCCCGTTGCCTAGGTTTGTGCTGCGCTTCTTTTTTTTATTCATTTCCCCTTTTTTTTCAGCTTTTTCTTGTGTTCATTCTATTGAAAATTTTGGGAATTTTTGCAATTTATTGGATGAAACATATTTTTCTTCTGAAATTGATTCTCTGTTTGTTCGAAATCTCTCTGTCAGGTTGTTACGATTTATATTGTGTTAAATTACGTTGGTTCTTAAGAATCCTTGTGGAAATTGGAATTGAAACTCAGATTGAAGTAAATAATTTCTACTGCTTGGCTTAATTATCTTTTGAATTGGAATTTTTTGTAGTTGTTTCTTCTCTCTCTTTTTTTTTTCTTTCTTTTGAAGTTCTGGTGAATTTTGGTATCTGTATGATAAAACTGAGGTTCATTTTCTGCTGAATTGGATTATCAAGTTGTTGCTGAAACAAGGAAGGGGATATAAACTTAATGATGGATTTGTCATTTATGGAAATTCAGTATCTGTTTATACTGATAATGTTTTTTTGAAGAGTAATGCAACAATCATTTTTTTTTTTTTTTTTTTTTCAAATTCTCTTTCGCAGGCTGTTTCGACCTTCATCGTGTTAATTTCTTTTGTTCCTTAAGAATCCAAGTGGAAAATGGAAGTGAAACTCGAGTGAAGTAAATGATTTCGCATGCTTGGCTTAATAATCGGTTAAAGATGAATTTTCAATAGCTTTTTTCATCTCGTGATTTTTCTTTTAATAAATTTGTGGAATTTTATAAACCGTTTAATGAAATTGTGATTATCTGTTTGATTTGCTGTTGTTTGTTAGGTTTGCTTTGATTTTGGAATAAGGAAAAACACAGAACAACGCAAATCAGATAGCTGCTCCTCCCGCCCGACCTCGAGCTGATTACGATTACCTAATCAAACTCCTTTTGATCGGTGATAGCGGTGCGTGTTTTTTATTTTTCAATAATTATCATAATTTTTGTAATTTTTCATTTTGTTGTTGTTGGAGCTGATATGAAATGTTTGTTAATCAGCTTATAGATTTTAATTTGGAATTTGTAATGTTTATGTACTCATTATAATAGTTATGGTAGGATTATATTGATGCTAAATTGCTAATAATATTTTGTTTGGTCCTTCAATGTACAGATGGATAATCAAGTTTTCTTGTGGCAGCCTATGGATGTGTGTGTATTATGTCAGGTTATTCAGTGAAAGCTTTGTACGATTGATTATATATGCCGTGTTTGTTAGAAGCCATTGTGTTTTTCGTAAGATGTATGATTTAAAATGTTGTTTTCTACATGTCTGGACACTGATTCAATAAATGTTGGTTGAGAAACCTATGGAAAAAAATGGCAAATTGATTGTGATTTGTGATTCGGGGACAAAAATTGGCTTTTGCCGATGATAAAGCAAGTGCTGGAGTGGAACTGATACTGAAATAGAAGCTAATCTTAAGGCAATTAGGTGGGCTTTAAATCTTGCTGTGGACAAAGGATGGCTTGAAGTGCACTGCTCCTTATTGTTTGAAAATCTGGCTGCTGCTTTGAATCAGGGTGTGGCAGATGATTTATTTGAGGATATTATGGTTTTGAAGTTTTTATTTTCTTGTGTATAGTTTTAGTGGCTCAGAGTCCTTAGTAGTTAGCTGTGGGTTAGCCAAAATGGCTTTGGCAGGGGGATAATGTGCATTCCCCTGTGGGTTACCTATCTTAGTTGATAGGGATGGTATGTATTGTTCAGTTAAACTTGAACTTGTATCTTGTGAGATTAATGAATTTGTATTCATTTGAAAAAAAAAAAAAGATGATGATAAACCTGCACAAAAGCCTTATTGAAAGATAATTGTTCACTGATTAAAAAAAAAAATTATTTAAAAATTTTCTAAAATATCCAAGAAATTCAATAGTCAAAATAATAAGAGTGAGTAAATTTATAGTCAAATTTACTCAGTCTTATTACTCAGTCTTGTCTTAATAAGACTATAATTGGTAAATCTTTACTCAGTCTTATTATTTTGACTATAAAATTTATAGGTATTTACCAAATATTTTTACAAAATATACGTATTTACCAACTTTATAAAAAAAATTCATAAAAATTTTATTTTTTATAAAATTTATTTACTCAGCTTTATTGAATATACGTCCGCACGCAGAAAAAATTGAATATTTACAAGATTCGTAATTACCAATTAGAAAGCAATATTGGTAAAAATATCGTTCTACCATGGCGAAGTTGAAACTCATAATTAATTGGAAGACGAAGGTCTTGGAAATTTCTTCCGATTTTCCTACATTTAATTTTGACTTCCGTAGTTTCTCTATTGACAATGTGGATGAATCATTTCTTTTTGGTAATTATTTAATTTAATGTGAATTCAAATATTTTTACAATTTTTATTTTCATTTGAAACTGCTTAATAAATTGTTGATCGAATTATTTTGATATTGTAGAAATTGGTATGGTCATTGAGATTCAACCCATTCAATCAAAATTGGTTCATGGAGGAAAGACTCAAATGATCCCATTTTCCATGATATATTGCGAGTAAAGGGAAGACCATGACAATGAGATGGTTTGTTTTACTTTAATTGCAAACTCCAAATTATTAATCTCAAGTTACATGTTTTTTTATAATTCAATTATCATTTATACTTGGTCTTCATGCCTAAAAAAACGTACAATAAAAATTATAATATTTTTTTTTTCTCCAATTACTTAGTTTAAAAGTTTTTTTTTTGCTTATTTAATTGATTTACTCAAATAAATTATTTAAATTCGTAATATAATTCAGAAACTGCACTTAATATAACATTATATATAAAATTTTTAATAGGAGAAAATATACTACATAAAATAATATTCTAAATATAGGAAAAAAAATATGAAAATTGTAATTTTAAATAAAATATAAACTATAGTTATACCAATTTTCTTTGGTATATGTTTGCTTTATATATTATTCACATGTTACTTAAAATTATTTTTTTGCAATGATATTTGATTTGCAAGACTGTGGCTGGTGAGGTCATATTTATATCAACTTTTAACTAAATCAGTTAAAAAAGTACAATATTTTAAAATTATTGACTTAACGTATTGCAACTATGTAAAAAAATATATAACTTTGTAATAAGGTCTGCGATTTTAAGGAATATGTCAAATAATATCATATATCTATTTACCTAAATCGGAGGTTATATTTCCCTTTGGATCAAAATATACAAATTGAAAGCATATTATAGTGGTATAATACTGCGTTTATTTATTTACTTTATATAAAGATATGTATGTATATATATATATACATATGTATATATATATATATATATTAACTTAATAATATTTACCTAATTGCATAGATTCAATTAAAGGAAAATCTCAACAATTTTATATTTGTTACACGTTCGAAATTGTTAGTGTTAACATATTGGATTAAAAAAATAAGAACATAAAAACTTTTGGGAACCTCAAATTACTAACATTCTTTATTACCATTTTTAAAAAAAAAAATCATATATTTAAGAGATAAATACAGAATATTATTGGAATAATTTTTATTACCACCAAAATCGGGAAAAAAAAATCAAGTCTTAGGATATTCTTGGGATATGACCCGATTTCCCTCAAAATCGCCAAAAAAAATCAAATCAAGTAATAAGCTTATATCATATAAATCCACATTTTAAACTTAGAAAATAAGTGCATATATATGCACAAAAATTTCAATTATAAATAAACTCACATTCCTGGTAAAAGGAAATCTAATACTAATCATAAACTCACACATTCAAAATAAGGCATGGGTCAACCCTTGATCTAATCAAGGATTTCAAATGAAATACGAAGGTCATCTTGAAACTTCCAGCAGCATCTTTAAGACGATGTTTGATGCTTCTTACAGAAGTTATTTGGAAATAGTTTTTCACGATAGTCATGTTAGTATTCTTCATTATATGATTTAATAGTAGCTGTCAATATTTATTATTTTAATATTTTTTGACGAAAATATTATTTTTGTTTTGTGATTTTACGGGGTGGCCGCATAACTGGACTAATTCGTGATGTTAACATTACAAAGATGAGTGACAAGTTTGAGGATGGTAGAAAGTAACATTGGTAAATAACAATTTATTACTGCAAAGTGTTGGAGTATCCTACTGATTTTCCAACGTTTTATTTTGACTTCTATAATTTTGCTACGCAGCAAGATGTTGACAATATAGATTTTCAAAAGCAAATGGTTATGTTTTTAATTTTATTTTTTCAAATATATAAACATACGTGTGGTTGTGTTTTACTTTAGTTCTCTACGTATTATGTTATTAACGTATAATCGTTTAATATAAATATTAATATATATCTCTTACCCGTGCATCGCACGGGATTCGTACTAGTAATTCTAATGGAGAGTGCATCTCGAAATATTCAAATGCCACACTGACGAAAGAATTTGAGTTGAACACAAGAAATAAATAGTAGAGTTCCAAAATTGTAGGTGCGTGAAATAACAATATCAGTTGCAACCCCTTTTCCTACGCTCGGTTTGTTGACTGTGCTTCGATTTGTATAAAAATGTAAAGCTCGTGTATTTTCACTGCCAAAATTGAAATGTAGAATTAAATAGCAAACAAAAGTAAATGTTTGATTTACTGTGGAATTTAGTCTAATAAAGGGGAACGACTAAATAAAAAAACTAATCTTACCATTCCAATTCATTCATCCCAATCCCATTTTCAGGCGAGCAAATCAAATAACAAAGACAATACCAACACTTCAGAAAGTACCATATCATAACATAAATGGCAGGAAAAATAAAATAATAAAAAAAAAGCCCTAACACGAGAAACAACCTTATTCTAATTAATCGCAATGAAACTGTAGAATACCGTGTAGTTGCCACCGTAGAGGACATAGGGGCCTTGGATAGGAGCTTGGGGCCTGAGAGTGCTGTTTGTAGAGCTTGTATTCAGATTTAGATGATTTACCAAATATAGATTAATCAGAGCGTCTACAAATTGGTCAGCTATGGGTTACGTTGACGGATTTTAGAGAGGATGATGTGGAAAGCGGCGATTCGCCGCGGCGGCGGCGGCGGCGGCGGCGGCGGCGGCGGCGGCGTATTATTGTTTGGAGGTTCGGAGAGTGAAGTCAGCTGCTATTCGAGCAAAGAGCCTTCTTTAAGTGTGATTTGACTCGTTTCTAATTGATGTAAAATTTTGCTAATTAAATACTTTGTTTGATGTTTGATTAATTTTTAGACCTCAAAAAAATTCTAAAATTTTACAGCCTCTTGGATAGTGAAGATTCATAAAATAACATGATTAACATTAACATTTCAAAAATTTTATAAAGTGATGTGCAACATAACATTCCAAAATAGCTATATCAATTATTATTCGCAAACTCTCAATTACACAAACTGTTAATAAAATGCGCTAGCAGAATATTGTATAAGAATTTCTTATCAGCTATCGGCTAATACAATCTTCTTTTTGTTATCAGCTATCAGTTAATAGCAAAAGAAGTCATTAGCAAATTTTACTCAAGAGTGTTTATATGTTTATTTATAGTTTTAAACAAGTTTGAACCTTAACGAGATGAATCGAACACACGAACGACCCGTTTCGTTTAACAAATTTATTCGTAAACTAACTTACGAGTTCATATATTGACTTGAATTCTGCTTGATCAAATTAAAGAAAAATTATATTAATTCCAGGCTCAGCTCATTTATAGAAAAAGATTCAAAAAGTTATAAAATTAAATAAACTCTAGTTGAGTTTCCTCACATTTTAGTTTTTGCCCTCTAATTGATTGTGTTGCAATGACTACAATGAATGACAAAATTGGTAAAATATATGCTCAATTAATTATTATACTTTATTATATGAAATTATATCCTTTGAGAACTCATACCAATGTTAGTAGATGAAATTAACCATTTTGATTATATGTACAAACATGTTATTGCTTGACCTAATGGAATATTCCTAACTGTCCAGAGAACAAGCAATTATTGTACCACGAGGACAGTACCAAGCCACAAAGAACTGAAGAGTTACAAATCCATCAAATGGCTTCACTAATAAGTGTACTAAGAATCTCAAAGAATGTGTAAATTCATTGCATCCAATTGAATACAGAGGATTTGTTATAATGGATCTTAGATCCTATCTTTCATGTCAACCTTGACTCATATCAAAACTTTCCGTAATCACATATCTCAATTTTTGGATTCCAATGTATATATATTTTTGTCCAATGCATAAATCCTTTGATAATTGATAGGGGAACCAACTTT